TAAAAGAAACACGTGAAGCCTCAAATCATAATATTGAACCTTTGAAATATGAATAGCAGCTATCAGAGTTCTAGGTTTTTACTTTACTTTAAAATGAGACTGTTGGAAGAGAAGAGCAGAGAATAGCTGGGATTGTGCACTGTGGTGTATTGAAACTATTCTGGCTAAATCATTGATTGCCTAATGGAAGGTACTGAGTTCCTCTATTAGTATAGAGCGTATGAGACATCGAACTGGCGAACACAAGCAAGTACAACACAATAAAAATTCAGAGAGAACACATAAGTATGCAGGGGTCGAGGAATGGCACATGAAGGGTCGTTGGATGTAAAATATGTATACTGTGGACCAGAGTATAATAGTGCAGTTATTTATTATTGTAGAATAAGCAGATTTATTTTACTGTCAAATTATATCACAAATCAATAACCTTTTGTGTCTTACACAGCAGCTGCAGTCATGCTGTTTCAATCTGTTTACATCTTACAGTAGATGTTTAGCTGTAGCAGGCTGAACAGCCATTAGTGTTGTGTATCAGGTTGAAAGCCTGCTGCCAAAACATGATAGTTATTTCTGTCCTCCCTCTGCCCCTCTTATGTTTTCTAAACCTTGTCAACCTCATTTAGGAATTAGTAATGAGAGCATCCCGAATACTCTTATACAATGAAAGTGTGGTGTACATGAACTATTGTTCTATAGTTGGATAGAACTGTAGTTTAATCAAAAGGGAAAAAAGCAGTCTCGGTTTTTGTTCCTGCACCTATTAACTTGTACAGCTGTACACATTATTTCCAACTCACATGGCAAAGCTCATGGGGGGGATTGTCCCCCGTTCCATAAGTAGATGCATAAGACAGTTCTAACACATATTTAACTTTAAGGATATGTATACATTTTACACATTACTGGCCATTAACATTGTGCTAACACTCAGCACTCATCACTACACTTAGCACCCCAAGCATGTCCAAAACATAGATGGCCTATGCCAACACTGAAACAAACTTCACCTTACATTGTACAATACAGTGTACCAAAAAAAAAGAAGAAGAAGAAGAAAATTCCTATTTTCATAATCTCAACAGCGTATAAATGCAATAATTCAGATAGGACTCCTCATTTAGCACACGTGCGGTAGCAAGTTAAATTATATAAACATTGTCATAATGTGTGATGTTAGTGATGGAAATGATGGCGATGTTACATACGATGATAATGAGGGTGATGGTATGCTGTGGTATAGTATGGTGGCTGTAATGATAGTATTGATGGTTATGATATATTTTTTTATATATTTATAACATATTTACCTTATGCACCCTCCCCTTAGCTCCCAAACTTCTTAATGTGTAAAAAGAAAGTGAAACCCAACTTTATTAAAGGTAGTGAACCAACCCAAGTGAGTATGTCTTTAATCACAACTTCAGCTTTAAATGGATTATAAATGATACCCAGTTTCATCTGAACTTTATATTTCCATGTCTATTAAAAATCAACAACAACATTGTTTATTTATGTTGGCATAGTTGAACCTTTTCATCTGAACTTTATATTTCCATGTCTATTAAAAATCAACAACAACATTGTTTATTTATGTTGGCATAGTTGAACCTTTTATTCTTTTATTTATATATATATATATATAGTGTGTGTGTGTAATTGCAGTCTTTCGTTTCACATTTAACCAGTCTGTTGCTGTGGGTACACTCTGTGACAACGTCGAGGTTGACCCTGAAAATGGTGACCTTTGGTTAGGCTGTCACCCTAATGCATGGAAGGCTCTCATGTTTGACCCCAAAGACCCACCAGGATCAGAGGTCTGGTGTTT